CGTTTTTAAGATTTCGATTCGGTTTTTGGTTCACTAAGCTCACAAAAAAAAAAAAAAAAAAATTGAACCAAATTTAGTGGTCCGTATATATAAATTTGATACATGTTATAATTTTTGTATAGATGGTATGTTACAAAAGATTTATTATTGGGTTATTTTTTTAATACCATTTGAAAGAATTGGTAAACAATGAGAAATGATAATCTCATTTGATTCATTTCATATGATATGGAAGTGCATGTGATAATGCTAAACATGATTGTTATCTGACATAAAAGATAAGTCACCATATATTATACATGATTTGAATGTTATGCTTTTCTATTTTGTTTAATTATTGAATGATAATCGTATTTATTTGTTTTTTCAAGTTGAATTATTATTTTTTAGAAGTCCCATTGTGTTGAAAAAATGATGGCACGCCAATTATTATCAACTAATTTTTTAAATTAAATAATTTTTCTTATTATATACAAAATAAGAAATAAATGTTAAAATTATTTAGAATCTAAATGAAAAATTGGAGGAATCTAAAAAGAACACTTAAATCTCTACCAAATACTATACTAGAAGCAATCGTTTGGTGTTGTAATACAAACTTTGTTTTCATAAAATACATAAATATGACAAAATTTAAAAAAATGTTTCAATCCACTAAAAGAATCTAACAGCACCAAGAAACAATTTAACAAATTATTTTGCAAACATGCTAACACAGTGTATTATAAATCTCTGACTATTTATACAAACATATAGAAGTCTAGTTGTTTAGTTATTCTCTACTATTGGGATCGTAAAAATTCTATCGACTAAACGCAAGAATTCCATATAAGCTCAACCTTGCAAACGATGTGCAGGTCCAAAATTGATTGGATACATCTATAGTTATCTCCTTCTCTGCTATAGTATTCTAAATTATAACCAAGCCATAACTTCTGCACGTCAGGCTATGGGCGTGGAGTTCTCTAGTTTCGTTTAGCCCATTTTCCATGCAGCCATAAGTAAAAGCTTTCAAGGATGGGGAGATACTTTTTAGGAATTTTGTCAACGTAATCTCCATCTGTGTAAATAATTTTTTTGACATAAATATGATTTTTTAAAGGAACGATTGAAAGCATGCCATTGGTTGCTTTGAGTGGGTAAGTATGAGAAGACCACCAATGTAAGTGAAGGTATGATTATTTAAAGAGAAATACTTTTTGAATGTTCATTTCTTATTTCTGATGTACATCTATTCATGCTAATAAGTTAATTTTTTCGATTGATGTTAGATTTCTTAAACCTTGTTTGCCATAGCTTTTGGAGTTGTTTTAGACTGAAAAAACAAAATAAATTATTTTTCAAAGAAAATTTCAAAATCTTTAAGAAACATGAAAATTCCAGAAAAAAACTTAAAGATTTAAAACATTAAAGAATGTAAAAAAATAAAAATAAAGAAAACAAAACCATATAGTAAATATGTTTATTGAAAAAAAAAACTTTTTTAGGGGAATTTGTGTCCCATGAAATGGCAAAATAACATGCAAGTGAAAAGGAATACATAAGGGTCTAAGATAGAAAAAAATTCTTAAGAAGGCATATGAAAGATCATGCCTAACATAAAAAGATAGATGATTTTTTTTTTAAATGATATTTGGATTATGAATAGGTGAAATTGTTAAGACCCATACAGTTTTTGTCTCAACAATACCTGAGCTATTATTTATAAGATTAATTCACACCATTATTCTAAAATGTGAAGCAATTTTTTATACTAAGAGGGTGTATGTTTTGCTTGACAATCTTTCAAACATTTAATGCATTTTATAGATTTTAAGCGTCCTATGAGGCTGGTTGATATTCAAGATTAAGAATGGGTATTTGATTTTTTGGTTTTTTTTTTTTAATATTTTGATTTAGTTTTTGGTTAATTGAGTTCACAAAAAAAAAAAAAATCCGAACCAAATTTTTATTCAATTTTTTGATTTATGAAACCAAAGTTTCAAATTTCAACTTTTGCAAAAATCATTTTTTTTTTTACCAAAATTTTAAAATAATGTAAATAAGCCAAAAAAAAAAAAAAGTTATAGATTATGAAGTCCTTTCTCTAATCCGAATGGTCTAAAATAGTCTCTATAAAAAATAATAATTATTTATTTAAATAAGATTAAAGCACAAAATCATACCATCAAAATATAAATACAAAATTTACTAATCCACATCTTAAATATATAATAATAATAATAAAAATTATTGGTTGTTCAAATATGTAAACAAACTATCAAAAAGTTAAAAAATGTTATAATTTTTTTTTAGGGAAAACCGAATTTAAAATCTTAAAACCAAATAACCAAAATTAATTTAATTTTAGTTTTTTTAAAGTAAATTTAATTAAAACCAAACCGAATTGGTATTTTTGTTTTAGTTCGATTTAATTAATTGGTTTTAATCAAATTTATGATCTCAACGGTGTTTTTTCTTTTATAGATCTTGATAAATTAGATCATGACTTTTCTTTCCCTTATTTGTACAACAAGTTGTTTACTTTACTTTATTTTATTTTTTAAAGTTAAATTGTGGAGTTGGATAATCTTGTGGTTGAAGAACCCTTTCTTCGCAAAATGTGAGAAATCTATGATGGCACGAGGATTGACCATGCAAAATTTTACCAATACAATTATCATAAAAACTAATAACATGTTCTTTAGTAAAAATAAAATAAAAAGCATGATGTAAATAATTCTTGTAAACACCTAATTTGACACACACTAACAAGTAGCAACCGCCCGGTTGAGCTCAAAGATAACAACATGCCTTATAAAATAATGGGTATGTTGCGCTTGAGGTCACAATCCAGCTTGTAAAGTTGAGGATCGCTCACCGATGACATCCGGATTCGATTCTCTCGCGCACGCCTATCACCCCCGCGGTGCCTTACCCGTCCACTCGGCTTACAGGATGTTCAGTGAGTCCAAGAATTAGTCGAGATATGCATAAGTTGACACGGACACCCGACACCCTAAGTTATCAAAAAATGCGAGAATTCAATAGTTACAAAGTTAAAAGTTGGTAAGGAAATGTGTCTTAGGAAAGTTGTGATTTTATATAAGAAAATCATGTTGTTAAAGATACCACTAAAACTTGACAGATATGAGTTTTATCCATATTTTAATTTATATGTAAAATTTTGTCATTTGGTAAGTTGGGTTAGAAACTAAACATTTTTAGCTTTTCAAAATATATTATAAAATAAAATCCTTTCAATGAAATCCTTCAATTTCTTATTTTGCTATGTTCAACTTTATGCATTCCTCTATTCTATTCGCCATGGCACATTGAACGTAAAGAAATGGCTACCTAATACTAGAAAAGACCATTCAAAACCTGAATCTGGTCTAAAAGAGCCGATCATCAACTTGGTTTCATGTTCCATCCCTGAAGCAGTTTGTACGAGGAAGTTATGACTATTTGAAGAAAAATCAGTGGGCTAATCCGAATTAATGTAGGTCAATACCACACAAGAATTATTTACGAATGAGCTTTTATAATTTTCTTATATGAATTTTGGTCTTAATAAATAAAATAGTTTCAACCGTTGATTTTAAAGTTTTTAATGATAAAATCACAACCATTAGATTTCAAAAGAAGAAATCACAACCATTAGATTTCAAAAGAAGAAGACCTTTTTTGATAAATAGAGCAGAAACCCAAGAAAAAAACAGAGAAGAAGGGAAGAACGGAATGGAAATAACGGAAGTAATCAAGAATTGATGAAACAGAGGTTTAGGTTTGAGTGGTGCTAACAGGTGAAACAAAGAAACTTGTTTCATGGTTAGGAATCTTAATGGCTTGAATATGAAAAAGGGATCATGGTTGAGCCGGACCCATCCTCTCAGCATGCATCGGTCTATAATTATAACCACCTTGTTACATGATTATGTTCGTATGAAAATTTGTTTTTAGGTACACTTTTGAAATTCCTATCAAAGTCACGCTAAAATATCTAATCCGAAAAAATCTTAATTTCAAACCTGAAGAAGTATTTTAAAAACACATTATATTGATGAGTTATTAAATAAATATAAAGAATAAATATATCTATATGTTTTTATATAATATTCAAAATTTAATTACTTCTTATTTGTTCATGAAAGCACTTGAAATGTTTAATATGTTATTCTAATCAATTTTTTCTATCATATAAAAAAAATTTGATTGAAATTATAAAAAATAAAAAATAAAATTCTAATGACTTAAAAAATGAAACATACAAATTTTTTTTTATATAAATAGTATTTCGGTCAAAAAAATAGTTCATGTTTGAAAAAATTGATCGAAATAACAAATTAAATATTTTTAAATTTTTTAAAAACAAATGAGATGTAATTGAAAATTTAAAAATAAATAAGAGATTTTAAATATTATATAAAAATAGATGAATATATTTACCTATAAAAAAGTAATGTTATTATAAAGGGAAAGGCATGGTACCCAATAAATATGAGATAATGCTATCCCCTTCAAACACAAATTTTATGTGACATAAAAGATAATTCACCATATATTATAGGTATAATTAGAATGTTATGCTTTTCTATTTAGTTTAATTATTGAATGTTAATCATATTTATTTATGTTTTCTAGTTGAATTAGTTTTTTTTTTTTTTTTAAATCTCATTGTTTTGATAAAATGATGCCACACCTATTGTTATCAACTAATTTTCTAAAGGAACTAATTTTTCATATTATATATAAAATAAGATTTTTTTTGTATGCTACGCATTCATCAATTAATAAAATATTTAGCCGACATCCAAAATGGTTAAAAGTTTTAAGAGGCGCCCACGGATTTAAAATAAATAATAAAATAATAATTTAGTCTTTTTAATTCCAAGAGTATCCAAGGGCACAAGTGTCAATCAAACGGTAAACAATAAAACGGAGGAGCAGCTAGCTAGCATTTCACTAAGAAGAGAACAGAGAAAAAGCAAAAAGAGACAGAAAAACTTCAAGCACTGGCCATGGAAACAGCAGCTTCATCATGTTCAATTCTTTATTCCCTTCGTTTATCAAGCAAATACCATAGCAAACACTACGCTGAAACCCCACTTAGAAACAACAGCAACAACAACAGCAGCAGCAATAATCTCTATCTGGGCCTGCCATTTTCTTCCACTTTCCCAAGAAACTACAATTTTCCAGGAAAATCTTTGCAAAAAAATCTGTTCACTACATTTTGCTCAACATCCAGTTCTGAAAATCAAAAACCATCTCCAGAACTTGCTGTTCTTCTGGAAGTCGATGGGTAATTGCTCTCTCTTTTTTCTTTTCATTTGCTCCATTAGTTTTTTGTTTGATTTTATTTTTTTTCTTTAATTCATCTGAAAGGAATTATCTTTTTTTTTTTTCCAGGGTACTTATAGATGCATACAGGTTGGGAAATCGGCAAGCTTTTAATGTAGGTGCGGCTAATTAATTAAATTTGTTCGTAATTACTAATATCTTTGTGACTATAAAATGATCATGTTTTGTAGTATCTATTCGGGATTGTATATGTTTAACTGTTCAAATTACTGTTCTTTCTTTATTTGTTTGTTTCATCAAACCAGCATTTCGGAAGCTGGGACTTGACTGTGCTAATTGGACTCAGCCTATATATCAAGACCTTGTAAGGTGTGGAGCCATTCAAAATATATATATATGTAGACATTTTATATGAAATTCCACTACAGAAAGAAATTAATTGCATTTCAAGTCTTGTGATTGAGTTAGTTTTTGAGCACATGCATTTTTGATATGTTCAAGTTATCATTTTGCTGATTTTCAGAAAGAGTGCTGGTGATGAGGAGAGGATGCTGGTTTTGTTTTTTAATCGGGTGAGTCGCTTTCTATTTTAGGAAAAAAATATGCTTTTTATCTGATTTATATCCTACACATTATACTCTCTGGTCTTCTTGCAGATTGGTTGGCCCACTTCATTGCCCACAAGCGAGAAAGGCTCATTCGTAAAAAGTGTTTTGCGAGAAAAGGTATATTTTTTTTAACCAATGATATAATGTTGCTGAGATTCCTTATCCAGCTAGTTGATTTATTACTTCTTGCTGTAGAATAAACCTGTTGATTAAGGAATTTTATAATGGTAGATAAGTGTGCAATTCTTAGTTCCTGTTTTGCGAACAAATTTGCTTAGAATGTATTGTAAGTTTCTGAACAATTCATTAGTTGTTTGCAGAAAACTGCTTTGGATGAGTTTGTGGCTTCAAATAGTTCACCTTTACGTCCGGGAGTTGAAGAGTGAGTTTTTTCATCCCAAGTCAGTGCAAGTAGTGTATTTTCTTTTTTACTGGAATTCTTAGTTCCTGTTTGCCTGTCTACCTTTCTGTTACAGTATTGTTTTAAAATGAAGAACTAATTTTCGAAATTTTGAATGTGGCATCCTCATCCACCTGAATCAAGTTTGTGAGCTGCTTAAGAATGTCAGCTTCGACAAAATGTGTCTGATTATGTGATGTTTTATCCACAAAGTTTCAGTTTTTCTTAAAAGTTAAAGTTTCAAAATCTACAACCCTTTTCACTCTTGGAAATGTGTGGCAAGGATCTGTACTTAACAATTCTTATTGACATAAAAAGCACATTATTGTCCAACTTGTTTTTATTTCACAGTTTATAAGTTGAGTTATTGTCGGTTTTTAACATCTTGTATTGTTACTTGGATGTGCTTATCCAATGGCCCTTGAATATTAGCAAGTTCCCTTAATTTTAAAACCACATTTGCCAATTTTGGCTTGCAGTTTTGTTGATGATGCATTTAATAAAGGAATACCTCTGGTCATCCTAACAGCCTACGGTGAAAGTGAGGAAAAAATTGCCAGGTATGGTCTCTTTATTTGAAGCATATTCCAAGATGTAAGAAGGTCTTGTAATTATTTATGAACTACATTAGCAAGATGTTCTACAAAAGCATAAGTGCTTGCCCTTTTTCCCTCTGTTAGAATACTTAAGCTCATTGTAGTTTTATCAAAGAACCATTGAATTATTACCACATGAAGGAAAGTCTACTGACAACATCTTACAGCTGTTTGACATATACACTATATGCAAAGAAATACACTTGAATTGTTAATGATCTCAAATGTCAGTGCCAATAAAATAATAGCAATTATGTAGCCATAGCTTGATGCGGACGACAAAGAAGCAAAACTTGTATCTTTCTGTAGACATGGGTGTTTCTGTAATTTCTGAAAAATTTGGATATTTGTCTATGTCTAGATTTTATTTTCTATTTAGTATTTTATATGTTCTAGGGGGTAATTAGCTTTATTAGGTTTTTTCTATTCTACATAGACTTAGGATTTTCTTATATAGGAATTTAAGTCCTTATTGGATTGCCACTTTCTTGCTGGCCTTTAATCTAAGCCCAGTAATTCTCATAAAAAACAAGTCCTCATTGGATTTGGACTACTAGAACTCTATATATAAGCGTGTAGTCTTTCCATATTTTTGTTGATAGTTTATGAATAAAATTCTAGCAATTTGCTTTTAATTGTGTGACTCAATGTCACTGCAATTCCCAGCAGAAATCCACTTTATACAACCCAATACAGCCCTAAACAGTCTCCGAAGTCTGATCCAGAACCGCTCTCAAAGCTGTCCTTCATCATAGCTGAAATAAAGTGGCACAATGGTGTATGGTTAACTATTTGAGTCATAGTTTTAAATAGCGATCGCTGTTGAAAAAACGGTCGCGGCAGTTAATTGTGTGAATACATGAGTAATCGGTAATAAATTTATTCTAATTCACATTTTTTGACAGTTTTACTAATTAAACATAATAATAAGTAATCATATCTTTAACGAGTTTAATAACATATAACAATAGTTAAATTTATTATAAAAAGTAATTAATAACACTTTCAATAGATTAATATCATATGAAAAATAATAAAATACATTATAATTTCAGTAATCACAGGAGAAAGAAAGCAAAACAAGGCAAAAAAAATGTCCCTCCTTTCATTAGTAACTACGAGAGAAATAAAACAAAAGAAGACAAAAAAAATCCTTCTTTTTCATTAGTAATTGCGGGAGAAAGAAAGCAAAAGAAGATAAAAAAATGTCCAATTGCATTTCGGGCTTGTTTTTCAACAATTTAAATTTTTTATATATAACGCCGTTGTATAACTGCTAATAACGGCGTTACATAACGGTAATGCCGTTATTTGCCGTTATAGGTGTGAAACGGCATTAAGGCCCTTATAACGTCAAAAAATGGTAACGGGTTGCCCCGTTACCGTTATATAACGGCCGTTACGCGACGTAACGGCCGTTTTTTAAAACCATGATTTGAGTGTTTCCCTGTCCTTCCATTGATGCTGCCAATTGAATAGCACTTCTCTTATAATAATTAGGCCCCAAGGCACAGAATGTTAAGGGTTTAGATCATTGGTGTTCTATGCTATGAAGCATATGCATAGAACACCGATTGTCTTTAGCCTGATAGAGCGAGCAGCAGACTTTTGGAATGGCTCATAGTGAATTGGGCTCTGCCCCTCCCCCATACTTTATTTCTTCATGGATGCAAAAAATTTTCGTTATGTGTTTCTTGGTTACAGGAAATTTTTTTTATTATTTGTGAGACAGCATGTACCCAAAGAGCTTGAATGGGCCAAGTGACGTAGTGTGGCAAGGGGTCACCAAGTCTTTGTTGGCCTGTTTGGGCCTTTTTAACGCCAATGGCTTGAATCTAGCCTCAAGATAAACTCACAAGGGGCTTACCTAACCTCAAGCTTCATTCATGGCATCTTGAACTAGGCGGATTTGTGGTACTCGTTGACAGCATTGATAGAACAAGCGATTCCTCCATGCTGAAAACAGTAAATGTTTCTGCATTTTGACAAACCTACTATCATCTCTTCTTATCTTTTGATGAATTTCTATGTACGAATCATGATTTTATATATTTTGTAAAGATTTCTGCCCAAGTAGTTCCAGTTCTGCATGTTTATATTTTGTTTGATTTTCAGAATATTGTTAGATCCATTATATACAAGCTTGGGCATGAAAGAATTTCGAAGTTACAGATTATTGGGATCGAAGAAGTTGAAAAGAGCTTATACGGTCAACTTGTTCAAAATAAGGGATCTAAGAATATTTTGTGAAGATTTCTGCCAATTAGTTCCAGTTCTGCATGTTTATATTTTGTTTGATTTTCTGAATATTATTAGATCCGTTATAGACAAGCTTGGGCATGAAAGAATTTCAAAGTTAAATATTATTGGGAACGAGGAAGTTGAAAAGAGCTTATATGGCCAACTTGTTCAAAATAAAGGACTGCTGTCTGGTTTGAATGAGGAAGTCGCTAAGGAAGCAATGAAAGCAGGTAACCCTTTAACCTGAGTATTGGCATATGTATGGTGAATTTTTTTCTCACAGCAGACGATGGATGCTAAAGGGGTCTGTTCTTGCCTTCTGGCCAGCTTCTGCCCAGAAGCAAAGGATAGCAGAGGAGGTTGCATCCATGCTAAAGTTGAAAGTTGCAATTGATTCTAGCTCATCTGAAAGGTTAGTCCAACAACTTTCTTTATTATTCTTTCCCTTTTGCATTCAATGCTACCACACCTTCATCTGGTATTTCCATTATTTATGGTATAAGATTCATACACAACAGACACTGTCACTGAGTAAATAGTGTGCCACATAGTATCTGTCTTTGAAATTTTGTAGATAAGATTTTCGCAAGTTAGTTCTCAATATTACTGCACTGGATTGTGAATAACAAACACATAATCGATCACTTCATTGCAGTAAGAATCAACAGTATTAGTTCTGAAATTTCTGCATTCCAAGACATAAAAAAAAAAAAAAAAGAGAACGAATATTAACTGTTGAAATGTGCTAGTAATAAATACATATTTGCTTCTACATGTAATTTCCTTGAAATTAAGTCTCTTATTTGTGGCCTGGTCATGGTTCATTCTTCATTGGCCTCATTATATTGACTCTAATAATAAAAAAAAAGGGTATCTGAAAACATAACAGGTCATCCAAACCTGATAGAATGAATAAATTGTGTGATTTCTGTAAGATGGTAGCTTCTGAGAAAGTTTCCATTGACCATCCATTAATTTTGGTTTTTCTGCCTTTCCACAATCCATATCCCTGCAAGGTAAGGGAGTATAACCGTACAAGTGACTTTAGTATAGGGGCACCCATTAATCTAGGTTTTAACCAAATATATTAGGTCCTTGAGTTACTTTTTGACTTACTTTTTAGCCAAGGCACAAAGCTATTGAAGTTACATGATTGTATGCACTATGTGATGGAAAAAAGTGGTAACAACCAAATTCCAAAAACAAGACATTGTAGTTGGTTGGTGACATGGCTAAAGTCACTCTTGCTCTATGCTTTATGTCTTCTGTGTCAGTTTTTAAATATATTTACTTGTTTGGCTGTGACAATACTAAGCTGATCTAATATTTTGAGAGTTATCCAGTCTAGAGAAAACTGTAGCTGCATTGCGTGCTGGGGCAGAATATGCTGCGGTGCCGGTCAACAACTGTGTCCTTATTGCTGGAAGCCAATCCGGAGTGGCTGGAGCTGAGCGAATTGGCATGCCTTGTGTTGTTCTTCGCAGCAGGTAAATTCTTGTTTCTTAAGTTTGCCACTGTCAGTTTGTAAAATTCACTATATTTTCTTAATGGTACTTATGTGAGTACTATTGAAACTTTCACGTTTTGAAGCGTGGGTATGCTTGCATTATAAATTACTCTCAATGGAGTTGGCATTTTGGAACCAGCTATCCTAGCTAAATATGTGCACTTGCACAAATACAAACCCGAGATCATAATCTAGTGAAAATAAAAGGAAACAAAGTCTGGGACAAAAGAAGTAAACTATGTTTTAGCATCATCATGTTCTTCATCAATTTATATAAAGCTCCATCTGATTATATATGCAATGCATGAATAAGATGTTTTAACAGGCACAATTGATAATGAACATAATAACATATGGTTTGGTTCATGAGGAGGGTTATTATAGATGCTAAGTAGTTTTGAAGGTGTGACCCGATAGTAAATATGCATAATATTGGATAATTTAATATTTATGACTCAAAGATTATGTATTTCTCCTGGATTTTTTTCCCTTTGAATTTAATCATAGAGAAATGATCATATTTATAGCGACATTGGTGTTTGGTCTACCAAGCTAAGTGTGAATTTCAAGTGGATCAATAGTCGTCTAACTCGTGCTTCTCTTCTTATTTTACATGTTGTGCATCTATAAATGTTCTTTTTTCTTTTGACAGAGAGATTCTTTTTTTCAATAATGCAAATGAAGCCCCTCTCTATGAAACTATTCTGTCTTGAACAATTTTATGTGTAGTAACGAGACTCTGACTAAGCCATCGTTTTTCTATTTGCCTTCTGTGGTACGGAATTTTCCCCAAGCCATCTTGAATCAGTCACTTCTTTCATGAAATATTGTTAGAAGATAACATGTTTCTCATTTTGTCACTTTCGTTTGCTTATTCTTTATATCTTGTTGGCTACAGTTTGACATCTAGAGCTGAGTTCCCGTCTGCAAAAGCTACAATGGATGGGTTTGGAGGTCCGGACTTGACAATCTCAAAACTACTAGACAAGCGGTGATCATTGGTGACAAGTTGAGTTACTTTTTCTGATTCTGATATTTTGGAACGTTTACTGCCACAAAGAGATCAACTGAACTAGTAAGTTTCCAAGAGTTTGCCCCAGTATCTGTATTTTGTGGGTGTATATAAAAATTAACAGTTATGTTGTTCTTGTTCATTACAGGGATGCACATTCGACGTTGTAAGATTGAAATAGAAAAGTAGGAGGGTTTGCATATATCTATGGTGTGGCTGTGTGAAAAAAGTCTCTTGGTTTTATTAGAGTTCTCGAGTATAATACTGAGAAACTTCAACTAGAGGATTAAGAAAAAGTAAGATACGCAAGAAAAAAATGCTTTTATTATTTATTTGATAGAGTATAAAGTTTTTGATAGAAATAGCTCTCTCATTCAGTTTTAAAAAATGACTGTAATGTGATGGTCGTTATATAACGATAACAAAATATCTCGTTATCGTTATTTGACGTTATATGACGATAATAAGGCACCTTGTTACTGTAATTTAATGTTACGGATGCTCCGATGCTGTTTCACATAGATAATGGCAAACTAACAGTGTTATCATTATGTAACACCATTATTTGCCGTTATATATATAATTTTCTTACTTTTTATTTTTTAATGTGATGTTAATCTATTAGAAGTGTTATTAACTATTTTTTTTTGTCATAAATTCAACTATTATTGTATGATATTAAGTTATGAGAGATTTTATTATTTATTAATATGCTTAATTAATAAAACTGTTAAAAAATATATGAATTAGAATAAATTTATTAATAATTATTAATATATTCATGACATAGATTGCTGTGATTGTTATTTTCCTATCACAATAAACCGTGATCCACGATCTGCATCTCGACCATTTTTCAAGTGCAATCGCCATTTAAAATTATAATCTGATCACGAGAAGACCACCAGCAAAAGAAATCAAAGCATAAAACAAACTGAAAAATCAAAAGAAGTTATTAGATACACTTGGAGGTGTATTCTAATCTCTCACGAGTCACATAAATATTAAATCCTTTATAAAAACTATCTACCTACTGAATAATTCCTCTATGGAAACAAGGAGGGGCAAGAAAAAACTGAGTTAAAAGATAAAAAAATACAGAAACTAAAATGAAGGTTATGTTTGGCATGATTTTTTTAAATTGAGTTGAGTTATAGTTTAACTTTTGACTAAAAAAAATCATAAATATATTTAGCTTTTAACTTAAATAAAAAATTTGCTATAAAATTGCGTAAAATTTTTGAACTTTTAACTTGTAACTTATAAATTAGAACTTATATTACCTTCTTTTTTTATATATATATATATTAAAAAATAGCTTTGAATCCTTTTTATAAAACATACTTCCAACTTAAAAATAATTTTATGTTAATTATGAAAACAACTTTTTTGGATTATGATTCAAAGTTATAATTAATGATGCAAAAGTCATGCCAAGCAGATCAGTGTAAGTTGACGCCCTTTTTCTCTTTTTGGATAATGCGTGTGATCTTGCTGTGTTGATCAATCTTCACAGCGTAACATAAAGGAGCTATTGTTTTTTTTTTTGGTTCAGCTTTAAAAGTTTTTTCAGATGACTAATCCCTTTCTAAACGTTGCCAAAGGACATTTCCTAGTGCATGGTAAATTATCAAAAAATACCAGCTGGTTACTAAGTTAAAAGAAGCTGTTGTTTCAACTCCGTACAGATGACCATTTCAACTTATCACCAACTTTTTGGACGTAAAGCATTGAATTTCTATCTCGCAGAGACAAGAGCAGGAGATTCAATTCGATTTTTTTGTACGAACTTCATATCTAACTCTACAAGAATTCCAATCCAACTCAATCTTTTCATGTTTCTCAACTACTGCTCATTACTTATATGTATAAAGCAGATTAGGGGGAAGCTGGAAGTCCCAAAAGAGGCTGTTCATTATATATATATATATATATATATATATGTATAAAGCAGAAAGAGGGGGAATTTAGAAAATGAGAGTAGGCTTCTGGAAGCAAAAAGATACAAGAGGAGATTGGATGCCACAACCCAGGTTCCTTGGATCGCATGCCCAAGTTTGTTCAATAAGCCTCTACCCAACAAAAGAAGCTTGAACGGAAAAGAAGAGGGCTTTATATTTTGCCAGAGACCACAAAACCAACTGCTATGGTACTGAAAATCAAGTGCCACCATTGTTTTTTTTTGCCCGCAGTTTTCTGTTTTCTCGACCCCCTCTTTGTATATATAGGTTCCGACAAGTGAGATACTTCTTTATCAATGTGATAATTACATGAAGATTGAACATGTTTCTAGCTTCTATATTCATGCGATTCTTCTCTGATCATATCCAAAAGATGAGTGAAACGCTATTTAATTGTGAGTCTCTGATATATATTGGTGAAAAGTGTACGCATTCGATCAAAGAGTTGAGTAGAGAAGAGCCAGTAGCCAGCAAAAACTCAGAACTGTGATAGCGAGAAACCAACTTGGCAAAATTATGTCAAGCCAAGTCAAAATTGTTTCCACTACTATGGTTGGCAAGGACAAAGCAGTGAAAATATCTGTATCTGAATATCAGTCTTTGCTCAACTACAAGCCTGGAACAGATGAGATCACCATTGCAGTGGCATCTGAATCATGTCCCGAGGAGGATTTGAAAGCTATTGAGAGTCACTGCCAACTTCTTGATTACTCTTATGAGGGTCGCCAAAAAGCTGAGGACGTCAACAGTGGTGAGTCCTCAACTGGTACATGCAATGATGGCGCTGCTGGTAGTTCAACTAATGAGAATGAGAAGAATTAGTGAAATCAATGATGACTTAGAGGGAGAAAAACCACTCTTTTTAGTTATCAAGCTTCTGTTATGTGTGTCTCTTTGTTTATAGCAACTACGTAGTTGCTTGTAGTTGCTGTCGTTTTATTTTACTTTTTTCTATTGAATATTTAACCGTTGTGTAGTCACTATCTTCAATAAAATTGGTTTTCCTCTTTTTTTTTTCCTGTTGAATGTTTAACTTCTGTGTAGTGATTAAACTTCGATGTACGAATTGAAGTTAGCAGTGGGCAGTTTTAAAAAGAGGCAGCTAAAATAGTTTTAAATAACAACCGTTACGTTATATAACGATTTCGAAACATCCCGTTATCGTTATTTTAGTATTATAATAAACTGTCATCTGCAATAACGGCCACTACTGTTTTTTTAACTATCCGCGGTTTAAAATGAAGCAGCTAATTGCCAATTAGGTTCCAATGAGCTCTGTCTAGTCATCACCAAATGCCAGATAAAACATTTATGTACTGCATACTAATTGAAGTTGGCAGTACCATATCATCTTAGGAAGGATTTTCATCAGTTCACATTTGGCAAGCATTCAAAATGTAAATTATGTGCCATCATAAGATTTTAAGTCTGCAAGACCATCCTGTGGCCTTCTTGTGATGCATGCATATATTGGACACACAAATTCCATTTCCTACACATTGATCGCATGATCAGTCATGCATATTACTTTGTTCGGGAAGACATGTTTCTACCTTCTAAATTCATGCATTCTTCTCTGTGATCACCAAAAAACAAATGAACACAAGCAGGCTTATGCCAACGGCTGTGTACCCAGTTAGTTTTCCTAGTAAAATAAGGTCGAGTCTTGATGACTCCTAGTTTTTTTGATAATCATGTAATGAGGAGGGCTACTCTCGTTGTATAGTCTAAGAGGTCCGATGAATCAAATAAAATAAAAATAAAAATGAAATAGGTCTATAATTAGGTCCACAGTGGAAAGATACACATATACCAGTAAGATGTGAAATCTGCGGGAGAAGAATGAAAGGATATATATCACAGGTGATCTCGAAGGAAGTAAAAGTTATTTCCACCACCACCAATGGCGACAATAAAGTAGTGAAAATTGCTGTATCTGAATGAGTCATTGCTCATCTACGCGCCTGAAACAAACGAGGTCACCATTGTAGTGGCATCTGAATCATGTTCTGAACAGGATCTGACAGCTGTTGACCTTCACTGCCTGCTTTTTTATTAGGCAACAAATTGATGGCGGTGGAGAGTCCTCAGCTGGAACCGGCCAAGATGGCCCAAGTAGAGAAACCAACACTAATATAACAGGGATGAAAACAACTCTCTGTATTTTTGAAGTTTCTCTATGTTCTTATTTGTAGCAGTTCTATGTTCTTATTTCTAACAGTTCTCTCCTCGTCTACTACCCTTTCTTTCTTTCTGTCTTTCCTTTCGGATGTTTAGCGTGTTTGTTAAGTGGTAATCTTCAATGAACATGGTATTTCTCTCAATCTTTATTGTCTTTGTTTTGAAAAGAGGAACCTTGTGTCAGGGAGACTTTGTCTAGTCCCAAACGAAATGAAAGAAAAGTTGATATGCATGAACAGCCTCAGCATTGAGAATTTTAATCATTGAGAAGAAAAAACCACATTTTTTACATGGTAATTTAATATGCATGAACAGCCTCACAATAGGGAATTTTAATCATTAAGAAGAAAAAACCTCATTGCTATACTGAACCAAGTAAGGGGAAGCAGTGGAGTGGCTAATAAAGGGTTCCATCTTAATCTAATTATAGAATCTAATTGCCTATGCTATTACTTTTGTAAAAGAGATATTGAAAACATTTCTCCCCAGTAAGTCACATATGTATAATATAATATAAACATATGTTATCCATATTCAAACTTCATAACTTTAAAACAACTCCAAAGAAAATCATAAAAGGGGCTTTTTTTATTTCTAATTATTCTGGTAACAAAAAGGGTATAAGAACAACCATCAGATCCTCAATTTTAATTCCACACTCCTTAACCATGGTTTTAATTGAAATAGTAACTCATAAACCGATAATCAAGAAGACTGCCGAGCATTCTTTTCCTACCAATTACTACTAAAAGCATGTTTCCATACTACAAGTTGAAGAAGATAACTGACCAATAATCACAGGGTCATGAAGCAAATTCCAGGATATCTCATTAATTCATCGAACCCACCCTGGCTACTGGTTTGAGCTTGGAGAAAACACTCTTCACATCCTCAAATACCTCATCAATTGATCTTTGAGCATCAATCTAAGACCACGAATACGAAAATTAATAACCATTATAATAACGACAGAGAATAAATCAAATCAGGTGTAGATTATCCTTGACATATAAAATATCCAAGGAACTGGAAGGAAAGAGAATTTCAGGACTATCCTTCTATGTTTTCATAATCCTATATCCAAAGCAGAAGCGATTTTAAATAAACATAATTTGATTCAAAACAATGCATTGAAAAAATGTAATGTTTATACAGTCAGTAAGCTTCTGACAAAAAATATTACCTTCTGAACCTTCCCCTTTGAGTTGTAGTAGTTGATTACAGGTAAGGTTGATTCGAAATAGACTTTGAGTCGCTTTCTTATGGTTTCAATGTTATCATCCACCCTTCCCTTCAAAAGAAAAGAAGAAAGTCATGAAGAGATGCATAGGAAGTGATTCAGCAACAAAAATGTGCAACAAGCTAACCTGGTTTCTGTTCAGAATACGTTTTGTCAACTCTTCTTCAGGACAATCAAAAAATAGTACAAATTCTGGTTCAATTTTCATCTGCATGATGATTACAGAAACGGAAAATTACAAGATTTCTTACCACGAAATGACATGGGAATCTAGAAGGAACCACAAAATCATTACAACTGTAGGAATGAATGGATTTCAAAATTAGGAAGTAATAGAAGCAGCAGATTATAGAACTTTGAATTGACATAATAAAATTCCAAGCTTACAATGTTCTCAAATGCAGTACGATTTTCTTCATTGCGCGGGAACCCATCAATGATGAATCTCTTGTTATCACTTAGCTGCATTGCCTGTTGTAGAAGCTTCACAGTTATCGCAGAAGGGACGATCTTTCCTTCTTTCTTGAAGTTTTGAATCATTGTTCTGCGGAAACAATGAGCAAGGCAAAAGAATCCTGTGAACATAAACCCTCTGTGGTACAGATGAAGAGCAAATTTTTGAAAAATGCAGCCAACAATTTACGACCAGCAAAACACTAGAATAACAACAAGAAAAGTAGTAACGATGACGATGTGAAAATCATGATGCAGTAAGGCATTGCCCTGTACATGAAAAAAATGCACGCAAATGGTAAAAATTAAAGATGATAATCCAACCCATTTTCAGATTCAGACTCAATTTCTGCTTGAAGAAGATCACCAGCGCAAAGATGTGTAAAACCGAAGTGTTCAACAATTTTGGGACATTGGGTACCCTTTCCACTGCCTGGACCACCTGCCAAATGAGTAATCAAGATTATTGAACTTCAATCCATTGATGTGACAGAATGACACCCTAACAGATCAACTCCCAGAAAAGCACACATAAGCACCCAGAAAAAAAAAAAAATCAAAAGTATACATCTTTAGATAACAACAAGGGAACAGAAATAGATAAAGATGGCGTTTAGTTCCTTGCACCAGTACTTAAAAAAAAACAAAAGAAATAATCATGAAGTGATATAGAATGCTCACCTAAAACAAATACCACCACAGCGGTTTCCTGAGAAAAAGTTTCACTTCCATCCTGCCACCAAAACACTAAACGTTCACACATATAGTGATGGTAACTACGCATGCTAAAAATCAAGGAATTCTAATTACTCAAAGAATCTTACATTACACACATATATGCAAAAATTACCAAAATCAAGAAAATAATATATGCCCACTTGGAATATTTAAAAATCTGACTGAATAGAAACAGGAAAACTAGGATAAAAGTACTTATGGTATACCTTTTGAGTTGGGAATTTAGAAGTCGCCATTGACTTAAAAAAGAAGGGAGAAAAAAAAACCTGTTACATAGGAAGAAAATGAAAAAGGAAAACAGAAGCTAAATTATGTTAAGGAGAAAAAGCAGACGACCATAAAGACACCTTTTTTTTTTTTTTTTTTTAAGCGAACAACACAAAACCTGGTAGTCATGAAAAAAACAATGAAAGTTCGTTAAATCAAATAATACAAGAAAAAGAAAGAAGAAAAACCTTTGCTTTTGTTTTCGTCTTTTTTGTTTAGTCAGGAGAAACCAGAAAAGCATGGGTGCAGAGGAGTTGTACACGAGATCAAAGTTCTCCAACTTTGGGATTTTGAGTCCTTTATTTTAACGAAATTAATTGAATAGTCCTTATATATTTAGATACTATATCTCTAATCCCCATGTTTTAAATTTTATTTACAATTAAGTTATTTCATCAGTTTCATATTGTTTTTTAAATTAATTTTGCTTTTTATTTTAACTTTTTGGGGGAAAAAAAGAAATAAATAAGAAATAAGTGTGAGAAAATTGATGAAGAAAGAAGGTAATTTTGGAACAATACTAAATTGAGGAATGAGGATCGCTAAAAGCTGATCGAGGGACTATTTAATTATTGCAATAACTACAAGGACCAATCAATCCATTTTGATAAAATACAATAATTGAGTTATAATTTATTCGGTCATCCCATCCCGGTTACGGATTTTGTCACGCCATTTAAGTTATATCTGAATGGTAGAGGAAGGCTTACTACTGACAGGCTATTGAGTTCATAAATAGGCCCAGTGGGCTTTTAGTCTGCTTTTCGAAAAATCGATCCATTTAGACGCTTAGAAATATTTGGAAAGTATTTTCTGTTACCCGAAGTGTTATTACAATTTGAAAAGGTACAAATACCTCTACGTATTTCTTATATGTACTGAATTTACGTCATTTTAGTTAAATATGTGATGACCAACTAATTTTGATAATATTTTGTAAAGAGTGGAATTATTTAATTACTTTTTATTGTATCAATATGTACATATAAACAATACACTATCCTCAAGGATTTATTTATGAAACATTTTTTATAGAACGACCGTAGAGATTTTTTGATGAATATTATTCTCGTAATGTGTGAATATTATTCTCATAACGTGCGTAAATTCAATTGTTCTTTGTACAGATCTTCGCAAGTTTAGTTTACGTGTCTCCATGATTTTCTTCTCAAATTTAGTTTTTAGTCGTCCAAAACGTGATTGTTCTCTTTTCTTTTATGACAAAAATGAACATAAGTGTTTTGTTTAGTTCATGTGGATGCCATCCTTATTATTGGGGATTCAATACAATAACTTTTTCTCTCATCAAAGATCTTAATCAGAGGTTTTCTATTCATAACCCTAAATTATGGGCATGAGTTATTTTTTAGGAATTGAAGCAATTTTTGTTTTCGGTGTGAAATTATGTTGGGTGGTCAGTGCCTGTATGTATGTCCACTACTTCTAAGCTACATATATATGATGTACACTTCTAGTGAGTGTGGATGCCACCTTATACAATCAAACTGATATCACTTTTGCCATTAATAAGGTCTGTCATTGATGCATGATCCTAAGAAGGGCCACTGGATAGCTGTTAAATGCATCCTACGTTATTTAAAACAGTATATGAATTATGGTTTGCATATTTCTTGTCACATTAGCCTTCTTGTAAGGTTTCTCTAACTCTAATTGGACAAAAAGCTATTGCTAAGCTTGGAGGATAGGAAATCAATAGGCGAATTTGCAATTTTTTTGGTAACTAGTTGATCTCATGAAAGTCCTCAAAGTAGAAGACAATACCAATGAGTTTAAGAATGATAGAGTAATAGGCTAGTTATCGCTAACACAACAACTGAGGTTCATGGATAACGTCCATGGTTACTAAATTGGAGATTCATGTGCTTGGCAAATCAACCATTTGGTGTGATAACATTGAGGCCACTTGCTTAGGTGTTTATATAATATTTTATGCATAGATAAAACATTTTTTTTTAATAAAAATTCGATCAATATATAAAAGAGAAAAGAGCCAATAAGAAATTGACTATAGTAACCTTTTAGAATACAAATAAAAAGACAAAAAAAGAAGAAGAAGAAGAAGAAGAAGAAGAAGCAAAACTAGACTACAACAATAAAAAGATGAATTGTCTATTCAGGTGAGCCCAATTGATGGGTTCTTGAAGTATTTATCCATCTTTTGATTTTATTTGAGCAAATACAAAGATCATTTCGGAATAGACAAAATGATCATCAATATATCTAGTCCAATACCCCACTCTATGAAAAACTAAAAAAAGAACATTGTCGTCCCAATCAAGAGTGGTATCATAAAAATAAGATCATTTCGCACTAGCCGGATCGACTATGGGCTTGAATAGAGAACAAGTAACCACACTTTCTTCTGCATATTAAAGGAGAGCTATCCAAGTCCGGTTTGTGATACAAGAAGATCGGTTAGCTAATATATTAACCAAGCCACTTGTTTATAGTTAGGTTTCAATTTTTACAAAGCAAATAGTGAGACCTTTAAATCTTCATCCACTATCAATTTGTAAGGAGTAATTTTATAATACATCAAGAGTAACTAGTGACATGTATAGTAGTTATTTTATGGGCCCACTTTGAAGAGAGAGATAGATATAAAGAGAGAGAGAGAGAGAAACGGGAGAGAGAAAATAAAAAAATTTGAGCGGACGTTGAAATCTTCTTATTACTTTTGGTGGGTATTGATGTAATTTTATTATTTTTTTGTATGTCCATCTCTCTCCTCAAAGTGAGCTCATGAAGTAACTATTATACATGCCACTAGTTACTCTCGGTGTATTATAAAATTTCTCATTTGGAAGGGAATATCAACCAAGCTGTCACAAGTCAAGTACAATACTAATATCGGATCAATAAAAAAGGCAACAAATCGATGAGAAAAGGAAGACTGAAGCTCCAACAAACTAATATAGATAAGTCCTATTTAATCATGTAAGTATTGTTTGATTATTAGGAATAGAATATTGAAAATAGAAATAGAAGCTTATTCTATTTTGTAGTCATTTGAAAAAAAAATACAATGAGAAAGAAAATGAAGAGTAAGAATGACAATAAAAAATTAAACATAATTTCATTTCCATGTGAGAGGTGAGAATAAAAATAAAAAATGAGAATAGTTTTTTTCTCAAAATAATGATATTTTATTTTTATAATTGTATATCAACTATTTCTAGCAACTTCACCACCACCTCCATCGACAATGGAGATAAATTTTTTTTTTTTTTGTTTCTAATAAAAAAACTATTATTATTATTATTCTCCAACCACTCATCCACCACTACCAATATTATTTTTATTATATTACAACTACTCTTTTTCTACTGCCATCTCGCATGGTTATGGCATTAGTTTGTTAAAAATATAATATTGCATTAATATACTTGTTTTCACCTCTTCCTCATCCTCCTACTCTACCATCGCTACAACAATCACTTTTATCATTTTATCATTTTTACTATTATCAAATTGATAAAATTATTTTTTTAATTATTATTCTTATTCGTATTAAAAATTAAAAATTTCGTTTCGATTCTTTATTACTATTTTAAACATAGTATAAGAAAGAAAATGGCGTTTTGAATTTCTAATTTTTCATTCTAATTTTTGCATTCTCATTCCGAATTTTTAATTCCTAATAACTAAACGACACATTAGATATATCTTAAAACCAGTGCATGTTTAGTAAAACCTGTCATAATTTATTTTCTCAAATACTAAACAAAATATAATGAAAAATATAAATATAACCAAGTCACTGCTATTGAATGTTACAGCAGCAGACTTTAATTCAAATATTGTTTCTGCTATTTAATTGTGATCAACTCAAAAATAATTACCCATATGAACATCTTGATCATGTTTATAATTTTTTTAGGAACAATCTTGATCATATTTGAGAAAAATAAAAAGTGGAATTATTTATGCGGTTAAAACGGTATCATCATACCACAGTACAGTTAGCTATAGGTTTCTCGAAAAACAAATTCACTTCATAAAAAAAAAATTTATTTTGAATTTTAATATCAATATTCAAAAAACGCTACACTCTTATTTATAATATTACTATATGCTATAAATTATTTGCAATATTATCACACATATATAACTGCTGTCATCACAAAAATATTCTTACTTTAGGAACTAACAATGATTTTTTGTAGGGTAATTCTGCTATACGCCAGTGTTTGACAAGTGGCAAAGTGGGTCAGAAGATGGCGTGGGAGTAAAAATGTAGAGGTCCATCTAACTGTTATAATCTTGAGTTCCATGGTAAGATCATTTTGATGGTAGCGAAAATGATGATATTAAGCAGGCTCGCAGTTGGAGATAATAACCATCAAATCGGTGATGGTTATTGCGGTTCGATGTGAAGAGATTGCTGAGGAGAAGCTCAAACAATTTACTTCTGATGATGTACCTAATTGAATCTAACTTTTCTGTTTTACTTTCCTCATTTGAAAGTTACTTCAACTTCTGATTATCAGACAATACTAACTTGATTCCTTACAGGATTGGTTGGCACTGAAGGAAGCTGTTGAAGCTGGTCCTGTATCTGGGATTGGAGCAACCCTCAGTTCTATATTGGAAATCTTCTGGTCCTAGTTTGATTCATAATTTATTTTCCTAAAAGAACCAAAATACAGTAAAAATTATTAAAATGTTAAACAGATAAGAAAAGATAGGGTAGCGATTTTTAATATTCGGTTTTTATTTCTTGAGAGTAACATAACAGCTTCTCATGATAAGAGAGAAGAATCAGTAATAACAGCAACAAATATTTGGTGGTTTACAGTTCCCTCCTGGAAAACCACCGGCTTTGCAATATTTCTCACAAGAGCCTGCCGGGAGACATGAGTCCAGGGTGTGACAAAGACTCATAGCTTCTCCTACAGAACAAAGAAACAATGGGTTAACATTTTTGAGTGAGTAAGAATCTAGGATATATTGACGTAATATTAATTGTTGTAACAAGTTTTCGGTAAATAATGAAGTAGCTAGCTAGCTAGGGGACCTAAATCTTCATCCAAATGACAATGTTTAATTTCCCAATATTTCTATTTCATGAAATTTCAATAGAAAAACCAAAATTTGAAATTTGAAATTACATTAAGAACAATGAAATGAACCAAAAAACCCTATATATACTAGGCAAAAATTAATGGTTTCAGTTTATATTTACCCAGTGAAAAGAGGAAATTAGAAAATGATTTTGAAATTGCATCAAGCATGCATAATGAAAACAAACCAAGAAACCCATATGAAATCTCATATGCATATACTCAGCAAAATTATAATAAGGTTCTGGTTTTATTTACCTAGTGAAAAGAGAACAGCCGTAACCATGATTGCAATCATCAATAACTTGAGATGTCCAATATTGGCCATGTCGTTCGCCTCTAAAATTTCCTGCAATGGTGATGCTGTGTGTATACCGCAATGAGAGATAAATATAATTCACCTTATTTATAGGATCATACCTAGAGATATATATGGAACGTAAAACCAAATCCAACATCCAGATATTGTTTCCAAAATCGCTTATAGAAAGATCTAATATAATAATGAGAATTAAAAAAAAATCTCATCACAAGAGAAAATACCTAGCTAACTATTAATGCCAATTTTTAACGCTTGAAAAAAAAAACCTTGTCCCATAGATTAAATTATTGAAAATTTTCTATGAACCAATTGGAAAGATATATATATATATATATATATATATATATATATATATAGTTGGAAAAACTTAGCATGGATATATAATAAGGAGTTTTTTTTTAATAATAAGGTATTTTTAAATCTTATTTCTTATGATAAGGTAGTTTTAAACTTATTTCCCATAATAAAGCACTATATGCCAAATAGGAGTCATTTCAATTAAATATATTGACACGTCAGTTTTTTTTTTTTTCACTGACAAATATACTCAAAAACCGTTTCTATTGTTTTTAAATTACGAGCATGCCATTTTTAATTAATCAAATAGTGCATTTTACTCATGTTTTTATAAGTGCTTTTGTTTTCTTAAACCAAGAAACCTTTTTTCTCTATAACTAGACTTTTCTTTTCCTTAATTTGATTCTAGCTATTGAATCTATCAAATCTGATTTTTAGAGTTAACTAACATCTACTGTATAATGCCTTGTTAATCTACTGGCTAGTTTCTTATGTTGGATTTTTTTTTTTTTTTTTTTGACAGTTGGAGATTAACGATTTAAGGTTTGGAATTTAAGCAGGAAGGGACTAAGGTTTATGGTTTAAATGATTCTTAAATTGGGTTTATAAGCTAGATATGATTTTTTTTATGCAATTATGATTCTTAAATTAGCTTTAGTCTGTAATTTGAATCAAAGAAAATTGATGGAAAAAAATAACTTCACAACCACAAAAAGGATACTTAATTTGTCGTTTTTATCTTTGAACAACAGAATTTGACTTTACAAATAAGGTTCCCTCCCCCACAGTTGATGCCTCTTTCCTTCTCATGCTGCTTTCCTTTACTGCAAGCGATTGAGTAACCAAATTTGCAGTGGAAGTTAGAGCAATTCATTTTAGAGACTTTCCTAAAAAGAAAATGAAACCCATTTCCACCATCACAAAAAAACCCTTATTAACCAAACATATTGATTCTCCAAAAAGTAGATATTTATATTAAGATCAGTTTCCATAGGTGGTAATGTTTTAAGGATTTTAGCAATCAATTTTTTTAAGCTACGATCACTTTTTAACTTAGATTTTAACCCGAGTAAGTAATGTATCGCTTAGCATAATGCAACTTGTAACCCAAATACAAAAATAAACCTAGAATACTTATGTTTGTTGGAGTATCATAGAACGGAACTCACTTGTTTCTATTCTTCTATCTTGGCCTTGATGTAAGAATAGGCTGCCACTTCCGCAATTGCAATGCATGTTCCAATACTAGTTTGTGTCTCGTTAAGCATCTTGCTACAAAGCAGTAATGTCCCGTTTTATCTCTTTTCACCAATAATTTCTTTTCAAGTCTCCATACACTTTATTACCCTATGGGTGGATGGAATATGATGTAACATGAGCTTCTCTCAAAATATCCTTTCAGAACTCCTTATTTATGGGAACACATATTCTTTCTCGATAGCATGAGCTTAAGTCGAAATTATCTTTACATTATTCTTAAGTTGATCATTGCCCCTACTATAATCTTATAGGGATTTTGATAATTTATTTCTAGAATTCAACTTTACACCCAAGGAATTGCAGACAGCACTCTTGAAATTCCTTCAAGAGAATTTTCCTTCAAGTCTGTAGAATTTATGAAGAAAAGTGTTTTGAAAGGAGGAGGATGAGGGTTATAATTAATTAACAATGAATTTAATTCAATCAAAAAGAAAAAATAAATCCAAAATTATGAAGAGAAGTGCTAAGAGCTAGTCTTTTGATTATTATTATTAGTATTATATATTTAATTTGACCCATTAGCTTCCCTCCAAATCATCCAATTGGAAATCTTGATAAGAGGTTTACTCATAAAGTGCCTATTGTTTTCTTTTTTTCTAAAGTGTGATGAACATCCCACTTAAAAACACTCTTGTCACTATATTTAACTTATTATATGAGTTTTTTTTTCATAATAAGGTATTTTTAAATCTTATTTCTTATAATAGGGTAGTTTTAAACTTATTTTCCATAATAAGGCATTATATACCAAGTTGAAGTCATTTCAATTAAATATATTGACACATCAATTTTATTTTTTCACTAGCAAATATACTCAAAATTAATTTCTATTGTATTTAAATTATGGACATGCTATTTTTAATTAATCAAACGTTATGTTTTACTTTTATTTTTATGAGTGTCTTTGCTTTCTTAAACTGAGAAATCCTATATATATACACACACAACTTTCCAATTGGGTCATAGAAAAATTGGCATTAATAGTTAGCTATGTATTTTCTCTTGTGATGAGATTTTTTCTTTAATTCTCATTATTATATTAGATCTTTCTATAAGCGATTTTGGAAACAATATCTGGATGTTGGATTTGGTTTTAATTTCCATATATATCTCTAGGTATGATCCTATATATAAGGTGAATTATATTTATCTCTCATTGCGGTATACACACAGCATCACCATTGCAGGAAATTTTAGAGGCGAACGAAATGGCCAATATTGGACATCTCAAGTTATTGATGATTGCAATCATGGTTACGGCTGTTCTCTTTTCACTAGGTAAATAAAACCAGACCCATATTATAATTTTGCTGAGTACATGCATATGAGATTTCATATGGGTTTCTTGGTTTGTTTTCATATATTATGCATGCTTGATGCAATTTCAAAATCATTTTCTAATTTCCTCTTTTCACTGGGTAAATATAAACTGAAACCTTATTAATTTTTGCCTAGTATATATAGGGTTTTTTGGTTCATTTCATTATTCTTACTGTAATTTCAAATTTCAAATTTTGGTTTTTCTATTGAAATTTCATGAAATAGAAATATTGGGAAATTAAACATTGTCATTTGGATGAAGATTTAGGTCCCCTAGCTAGCTAGCTACTTCATTATTTACCGAAAACTTGTTACAACAATTAATATTACGTCAATATATCCTAGATTCTTACTCACTCAAAAATGTTAACCCATTGTTTCTTTGTTCTGTAGGAGAAGCTATGAGTCTTTGTCACACCCTGGACTCATGTCTCCCGGCAGGCTCTTGTGAGAAATATTGCAAAGCCGGTGGTTTTCCAGGAGGGAACTGTAAACCACCAAATATTTGTTGCTGTTATTACTGATTCTTCTCTCTTATCATGAGAAGCTGTTATGTTACTCTCAAGAAATAAAAACCGAATATTAAAAATCGCTACCCTATCTTTTCTTATCTGTTTAACATTTTAATAATTTTTACTGTATTTTGGTTCTTTTAGGAAAATAAATTATGAATCAAACTAGGACCAGAAGATTTCCAATATAGAACTGAGGGTTGCTCCAATCCCAGATACAGGACCAGCTTCAACAGCTTCCTTCAGTGCCAACCAATCCTGTAAGGAATCAAGTTAGTATTGTCTGATAATCAGAAGTTGAAGTAACTATCAAATGAGGAAAGTAAAACAGAAAAGTTAGATTCAATTAAGTACATCATCAGAAGTAAATTGTTTGAGCTTCTCCTCAGCAATCTCTTCACATCGAACACCAATAACCATCACCGATTAGTTGGTTATTATCTCCAACTGCCAACCTGCTTACTATCATCATTCATTTTCGCTACCATCAAAATGATCTTACCATGGAACTCAAGCTTATAACAGTGAGATGGACCTCTAGAATTTCACCCCTTGATCATCTTCCGACCCTCTATGCCACTTGCCAAACACTAGCGTACAGCAGAATTACCCTACAAAAAAATCATTTATAGGTCCTGAAGTCAGAATAGACAAAAAAATCACAATTAGCATAACATACAATTTCATATTCAACGAAAGCTCTGACACCAACTGAAGGATCATGTATTCTATAAAGATACAAAAGAAAAAAAAAAAATCTCCATCTAGGGTTTTTAAAATCATGTCATTAAATAATCATACATAAATATAAATATGATTCAAATTAAGATGAGTGATTACCTCTTATAGAAATAGTTGATACACAATACATAAAAATAAAATATCATTATTTTGAGAAAAAATTTATTCTCATTTTTTTTTGTTCTCACCTCTCGTATGGGAATAAAGTTATATTTAATTTTTTTTTCATTTTTACTATTTATTTTCATTCTCTATCTTTGTTAAACTCATTGGTATTGTCTTCTACTTGAGGACTTTCGTGAAATCAAATAGTTACCAAAAAAAATTGCAAATTCACCTATTGATTTCCCATCCTCCAAGCTAAGCAATAACTGCTTATCCAATCAAAGTTAGAGAAACCCTACAAGAAGGTTACTATGACGAGTAATATGCAAACCATAATTCATATATTGTTTTAAAAAACGTAGGATGCATTTAACAGCTATATATCCAGTGGTCCTTCTTAGGATCATGCGTTAATGACAGACCTTATTAACAGCAAAAAGAGATCATATCAGTTTGATACGGGCACTGAACATCCAACATAATTCCATACTTGTTTTTCTCGAAAGTTCAGCCACATTCTTTCTTTGAGATAATACAATGCCATCGAAAACAAAAATTGCTTCAATTCCTAAAACAAAATAACTCATGGCCATAATTTAGGGTCACGAGTAGAAAACCTCTGACTAAGATATTTGATGAGAGAAAAAATTATTGTATTGAATCCCCAATAATAAGGATGACATCCATATAAACTAAACAGAACACCTGATGTTCATTTTTGTTATAAAAGAAAAGAGAATAATCGGCTTTGGATGATTAAAAACTAAATTTGAGAAGAAAATCATGGAGACAAACTTGCAAAGACTGTTTTAGACTGTACAAAGAACAATTTAATTTACGCACATTATGAGAATAACATTCATCGAAAAATCTCTACAGTTGTTCTATAAAAATTGTTTCATCAACAAATACAGACCAAAAGTAATATCACCAAAGCAGGCTTATAAAATAAAATATTACATGAGGAATTGCTTGTATGCTGCATGATATTTCTAAGCGTCTGAATGGATCCGGTTTTCGAAAAGCAGACCAAAAGCCCACGGGGCCTATTTATGAACTTAATGGGCTGTCAGTAGCAGGCCTTACTCTACCATTCAGATATAACTTAAATGGCGTGACAAATCCATAACCAGGATGGGATGACGGAATAAATTATAACTCAATCATCGTATTATATCAAAATGGATTGATTAGTCCTTGTAGTTATTGAAATAATTAAATAGTCCCCTTGATCAGCTTTTGGCGATCCTCATTCCTCAATTTAGTATTTTTTCCAAAATTACCTTCTTTCTTCATCAAACTTCTCATACTTATTTCTTTTTTTTTCAAAAATTTAAAATAAAAAACAAAATTAATTTGAAAAACAATATGAAATTGATGAAAGAACTAAGTTGTAAACAAACTTTAAAATATAGGAATTAGATATATAGTTTCTAAATATATAAGGATTATTCAAGTAATTTCGTTAAAACAAAGGACCAATTTATAATTAAATCGGCAAAATCCCAAAGTTGGAGAACTTTGATCTCGAGTACACCTCCTCTGCATCCATGCTTGGCCGGTTTCTCCTGACTTAAAAAAAAATAATAAAAAAAAAGTTTTTTCTTCTAGCTATTTCTTATATTATTTGATCTAAGGAACTTTCGTATTTCCAAGTGGGCATATATTATTTTCTTGATTTTGGTAATTTTTGCATAGTTGTGTGTAATGTAAGATTCTGTGAGTAATTAGAATTCATTGATTTTTAGTATGCGTTATTACCATCACTATATGTGTGAATATTTAGTGTTTTCATGGCAGGAGTGGCCGGATGAAAGTGAAACTTTTATTTTTAAAGTATTTAAAATATTCAATTTATTTTTTCGATCAAATAAAATCTATCTGATCGAAATGCTTTAATCGGAAAAAAAATAAACTTTCGAATTTTTTTTTAAAATAAATAAAATATAATTAAAAATTTAAGAACAGATATGAGATTTTGAATATTAGACAGACATATACGGATATATTTATCTTTTAACTTTTACTTCCTTCGACGTCACTTGTGCTATATATACTTTCGTTCTTTTGCTGCAGATTTCGCATCTTATTGGTACATATTGTGTTGATCTTTCCACTATGGACCTATGTATAAAGCTATTTCATTTTTTTTTTTTTTTGTGATCAGGGAGAAGAATGCATGAATTTAGTAGGTGGAAACATGTCTTCCCAAACAAGGTAATAATGCATTACTGACCATGCAATCAATGTGAAAGAAATGGAATTTATGTGTCCAATATATGAATGCGTCGCTGGAAGGCCACAGGATGGTCTTGCAGACTTCAAATTATGATCAATGCATTATCTTATTTATCATTATTGTTGTTACAATTTCATATAAAATTTTATTTTCTGATAAGTTTAATTTGTTTTCCCTATGCATAGATTTTTGTTTTTTGGAATATTTTTTTAGAGCATGATTTTTTTTTTATATATAAAATATTATATAATTTATATCATGGATTCTTATAATTTTAATTAAATGATGTTCACATAGTTATAAATATATATTCAATGTAAAGGTTAAGAGTGTGTTTTAGATAATTAGTGTTTTAATTTTTTTTAATATTTTCTTTGTTTGTACTTTACACGCTCAACCTACTTAATATAGTCATGATGTATAAAAAAATTAAATTAATAATTTTATTAAAAAAATAACTATGCATTTATACGCACAACACCAAGCAAATGGCTAGTTTATATATATATATATATATAATTTCAAAAAATGATCTTCTCATGAGTATTTAAAAAAATTTATTTTCCTATAAAATCTTATGAAAAATATTTTTTAATGGCATATTTTTTAATTTTGGATAAAATTTTCAATTTACATTATTAAAAGCTTTTATTTAAGAATCATTGCATCAAGAAATATTAATCATGTTTTTTTTTTTTTTTAGTTTAAAAAAATATGAAAAACATAAAGAAAAATTAATTAGATACAAGATTTTGATTAAAAACTTATAAATTATAGTTTTTTTTTATCTTTAATTCGATATATTTTAATAGATCCATAACATGACATGGATGATCAAATTAAAATGATTTTATTATGTTCGATCCACAGATAGCTTGGGTAATCAACTCGTTTTCTCTATTTAACTCTGAAAATGTGCAATATACCTTAGTTAAAAATTTCAATTCCAAATTCTTAAAAACTTTCAGGTCTAAATTCAACCACGCCTTGCAAAATTTGTTGTGAGGTCTGACATAAACGAAAAATACATATAATAATACTACTCAAAGCTTATGATGGCACAGAATTTACATTTTGGAGAAGGCCTAGTGATTAAAGGTGTGGTGAGGTCAATTGTTTTCCAAGACATCAAGGGGAAAAAAAAAAAACCATATTAATTTCCAATGAAATTATTAGTCAATAAAGAAGCATTTCTAATAAAATAAAGAACAAATGAACTGAATACAGTCATTCAGCAAACCTGTTGATCTCCTTGTCTCTTCTTCCAGTGATATTGCGCAGGAAGGATGTAATAGCTTGGTTATACTGGGTTATACGTACACACACATACACACACACACACACACATATATATATATACACGATTCTGGTTGCATCAAACTGCATGCATGCCAAATATGAACTGATTAACATCCTTCATAAGATGATATGATACAGCCAATTAACTTCAACTATGTAGTGATTTTAGCGGTAATGAGGCTTTAACATTTGTAGAAACTGATGATAATTTTACTAGTAATATTGTTGATTGGCGGGATTATCAAATTACAAAGTTCTTTCATCAGCTTCGCCATAACATGTTGCATGGATTGTTGGACATACAAATATCAACTTTAAGTCCAGATTGATGGTTACGCGGCTTCATCGCACTTGTCAAAATCGGAAAATCGCTCGCGTTGCAACAGTTCGAAATGCTGTTACCACTGCTGGCCTTGTAACTGCTGCTACAGCTGCAGCAGGACCCACTGCTACTACCCCTCCCACCACCACAACCCCAGCCGCTAACCCTGCAAGAATCTCCCTTCGAGTTCGACGGCGAGCATCCTGAAGGAAATACCAAGTATTACATGTAGAGTGCTGAATAAATTCTGGGACATAAGAAACTTCAATTGGCAAAAAATATATTCTTGGTTACTAAAAATTATCTACGAGTCATATCCTTGGTTCAGTGCTAAGTTTGGAAGCACAGGTTCTTAAATTGGCATTTAAAATTCAAAGATGGCAAATGACAAACTGAAAATGTTCTAACAAACTAAGCTTAAAATTTTTGTTTTCAGAAACAACACCTTTCAATTAAATATTGTGAACGCAACCAAATTACCAAATGAACATATAGTAATAAGATACCGGAGCAAAATATACCTGACTGGATCTAGCGCTGGTCACCATAAACTCTACGTTTTCTTTGAACTTCATCCACAGTGACTTGCAGTCCTCTGGTTTGAGCAGAGTAGTAGCCTTTGGGGAAACCTGCCTCATATTTGTTAGGTTTTATGTGGAACCATTTTGACTTAGACTTGTATGCATGCATACATATAACTGAACACACATCTATTACCTCTTCCCATGTGTCTGAGGCAAGAGGGTCTGTAGTTGTTCGTATGCCAGTATCTCGGGAAGATGGAACATTTCTACCCATAAGAGAGGAAAAGAGTACATTCTCAATCTGATCTGGCGTATCATCTAAGCGAATGGCTGCTATGATTGATAGAAATTTCAAAGACTGCAACAAGATAATTGGGAGACACATTCAGATCTTACTCAAAAGTATAACCAACTAAGCATCCTAGCAGCCATTAATTACAAAATGTAGGCAATATTACCGCAGAGAGTGCATTCCTTTCAATTTCATCAATGTTTTTTTCTGTCGTAAAATGATACCATGATATTGGCATTTCATCAAGATTGAAAAACCTTGTGAACCTGGAATACGATCCAAAGTTGTTAATACAAAAAGAAAAGGACACAAAAGGCTACAATTAAATACTCTACCTATCCATCATGTGCATCAGAACTCTCTCTGCATCTGCTGCTTCTCTTGCCTTTTTCTCCACTATATTTCTGGCATACTCCCTCAAATGTTGCAATTTAGTGTCGATTGCAGAACTAGGCAACTCGAAACTGGCAACAGCATCTGAAAACTCTGATACAGTAGCCTCAGTATTGCACTCAAGAAGATCTCTTATTGATGCCCATGTATCTCTTTCACCAGCTTCGATCAAGGATTCTACTCTTTTCTCGAGCGCATGAGTGAGTTGTTTCTGCATAGGAGTAGCATATCAAGATTTGATAATTTGATTGAGTACAGTGACCTAGTATCAAGAACATTAACTGGTTATGATACCAGTGAAGGAAATACCTCGTACATTGGCACCAATTCTGACAACATATAAAAAATAACTTCTTCCCGGAATTTCGAAGCGTTCCACCCACTCTGTCGAATGGCAGCATCTGAGAGAGCATAACATTGAATGTAACTCACCAAATCCAGGAAACTTAATTAGTAGATAACAGATGTTCACCAAGCATATGTACACAATTTTAAAATCATAGAAGGAGAAGCACTAGAAGCAATAGCTTAAAAACTTGTAGTCACTGCCCTTCATTTTGTCCATTAAATTCCTTTTTCCTTCTGTTTATCTCAGCCAATTGATTAACTCGCATTAATCTGTTGGAGTGAGAACTGTGACCACTTGAATTTGCTCAAGTACAGAATACAAGTGGTTAACTAAGAGGACAAGGTGGAGGAACACATCCTGATATGCATGAGTTTAATGAACTCCCCAAAGGTCCCCTGGGTTGGTTTCCAGCGACAGAGAGGACATATGATTTCTGATAGTCCATGAGAGAAGAAAGCTAAATCCCATATAGTCTGAAACTAATTCAGAGCCTTTTTGGGAGTTGATTAACTCATGCATATCAGTCAGATACCAGATTTTCTCAAGGTTTAAACTATTTCTGCAGTCATATTTTAAAGGGCAAGACAAGAAGAAATATAAGATTTCACAATTCATCAAATAGAAGGTTAAATAGCAATATATAAGCATTTCAATCCAATCGTCGAGATAAATGAAAGATTGAGAGTGTAGCACCTATCCTAACTGTCAAGCTAAACAACTTAGGGTTTTCAGGATAGATATACATAGCCTACTCAAGATGGATATGCATCAGGCAGTTAAGTTGTATAGCTTGACTGAAGATAAGTCGAATAGAGGACCAGTTGGAAAGTCCATAAACAACATCATACAAACAAAAATGGCAGACAACTCCGATTATTTCGACACAAAAAGTTTTAAGGTTCAAATCAGAACCGATGCACAAATCTACTTAGCCAGAATCTGCAATTAAGCAAAGAATCCCTGTCATATTTACCAAAGGCAATCATTAAGTGATTGTGGTGATTTTTATATCCAATCCATTTACCATTTGCAGCATTGCCTTCCATATCAAATCCATGAACACAATAAATGTAGTTTTACGTATTGGGAATGATTGACCAAGAAAAGCATGGGCAGAAATACCATTTTAATGCAGAACAAGTTTGAAATCCTGGCAATGCTGCACAATATTTGTAAAAATAATTAATCTTCCCTGCAAGAATTTTTAAACAAATTACTGCTACTATTACTATTATTATCCTATCATTATTACTAAAGTGAAAGGTGAGACTAACATAATTGTGACGAAAAGAAAAAATTCAGTTCTTTTATCCAATTGAAAATCAAAATCGAAAAAATAAGGAGCTTTTGAATCAAAGGAATGGATTTTGGCACAAGTCACAACCTCCACTAATGTTCTACCTTTGGATCTGAAAATACTTGGTAAGAATAGAATCCAAAGAATTGGTCAACATTGGAGATAATGTTAAAGAGGTAATCTTTCTTTGTCTTGTTGAGTCATACACTATCACAAGAGAAGTTTTTAGTCTTGAAAGGACCTGATTGAGATCCAATTCAAAATTGCAAAAAAATAAAAATAAAAATACGAAGGTTAGAAAAGAAGAAGTTGTTTTTAGTGGTTAGAGTCAAAATACCTTCACATCCTTGATCAAACTCGTGTATGCAAGATTCAGAACAGAGACGAATAGAAGCAGCATATTCTTGTCCTTCATTCAGTGACTCTTCCAGCCTAGCTTTAAAACTTTTAACTGTGTTGGAATACAAATGTACCAACACGGTAAAATAAACTTCTTGTACCACCTACATAATATATTGGACACATTTTTTATTTGATCAGCATAGGAAACATATAAAAAACACACATACCAACCAAGATCCCATCAATAGAATGATATAATCCAGCACCAAATGAGAAGCTTATGTCAGCTACCTAATGGGGACTAGAGAGGTAAAGAAATTAAAAAGAGGAAATATACACGCTAAGGCCGTACCATCAATGCTTTTGACAACAACTGTCCCCGTTTTGCATTCCGTACTTCTTGATCAAAATAGTTCACCTCCATATCATATCTATTGAAAAGAAAATCGCAAAATAAGAGATCCCAGATCAAGTTGAACACGAAGTACACACCAAGACCACAGGCACACAATGCAAGTAAGAATTAATTACTCCAGGAATCCAAGTGTAACTATTTGAAATCAAAATTCAGAACTTCCTCTTCATTTGAAGACAGAAAAGCATGTGGTCAACTGATCAGCACTGAGAAGAAGTATTAAAACTGAAGAATCTTGAAATAGAACACTATGACTAATAAACTGGTTTAGAACTTTTCACTCTTGGAGGAACATTGAATCTCACACAGATCTTACAAAGTAAGTTAACACATCATCATATAGAACTGACACCATGATGTACACTTACTCAGAAATATAGTTTTCCAAAATAGAACTGACTTTTCCTCCAAATCCAGATACTGGACCAGCTTGAACAGCTTCTTTCATAGCTAACCAATCCTGTAAGAAATGAAATTAGCATTGCCTGATATTAAAATTTCAGAAGTCAGAGAACTTTGAAAAAAAAAAAAAGGAAAATTGATTCAATAAAGTACCTTATCGGATGTAAAGCGTTTGAGCTTTTCCTCAGAAACCTCTTCACATCGAACAGTAGCAACCATGACCTGATAAACAAGATGAGAAATACAATCACATAAGAAACCCTGATTATTTATAATTACAAAAGACAATGGATTTTAATAAACCTTGAGATCAGGAAGATCTAGGTCCTTGTTATCTTTTATTGTTTGCCATATCATCTCTGCACGAATAGAAAATGCTGAAGCAGGTTCAACTTCCCGCCTCTCACTAACAAGACCTCCCGGATAAATGGAATGGACAAACCGCTGCCTCAGTTGAGCAACCTATAAGAGTCGATGCTCTCGGTGAAAAGAAGTATACTTGATTTCACACTTAATATTGCAACCCTAATTGCTCCCACATGCATGAATCTACAAAATTATCTTATGGCATGACATAATGCTCTTTTCATCATCGTCACGTGATTAACTCTTAATGATCATCAAACACCCCATATTGCTTTATTTTGCATGAGTTGGTGGTGACATACCAGTCAAAGTACCAATGTCTGTGATGCATGATCATCAAGTTTAATATGCAGAATATATTACAGATTAGCTACATGAGTTGAAGAGATGGATTGGTGAAATAGAAGCACAACCTGTCACTCCCCAAAAAACCTGACATGGCTCTAAAAAAAAAAAAAAAAAAAAAGATGCAAATTTGTAAGAAAAACTCACAAAGCTCAATTTTTGTCATCAAATTCTCTAATTGCCAAAAGCTATTACATCTCTTTAAATAAGAAAACTAGAAAAGCTTAATAATATTAATAGAAAAATAAAATAGAATCCTAGAGCACTAATTCCCTAATAGCACTTGTCTAATTAGGGTCAGATATATTTTTGCCCGGGGTGTTTGTGGTAAGCTAGTTTTGGAAAATTAGGGTCAGTGTTTGACATATATGCAGACTTGGAATTGGTTACCAATGTGTTCAGAAGAATTCTAACAGCTGAGATCCTATAGCAATAAGAAAGAGCCAAAGAAAACTTTAGGCAACATAGCCTTCTGAAAAACGAAAGCTCTCAATTTTATTTCTTAATTCAACCCTAATTAAAATAAGATATTTTCTTTCTTTAGAGATTTAGATCTACAAATTAGACTACGAATACTAAACAAGAATACTACAAATAGAGTTGGCATAATTAATCCTAACTTGACTAAGTAAATAATTAACTAGAAAGAAATTACCAATTTCTTTGACATCATATTCTTAACCAAGACCATACCCGTTATCAATTTTGAAAATTAATAAAATACCCCTGTTCTGCAAGAATATGCTGCAATTTTGCCCCTGCATAGAAAATCACTCATGACTTAAAACATAAAAACCCCTGCACGGTTGGCATATTGTCTCTCCTATCACTATAAAAAATCATTCACATAACACATATTAAGACTTATTTCTAATTTTTTTCTAAACACAATCACTCTCTAAAGGTCCAAATTTCTTTTTCTAAATCTCTTACATATCTCTTCCACTGTTCATTTTCAGAAAGTTTCAAGCATATTCTCACCGAAAGATACCACATCCTGCTCTCCATACTTGCCGCACATATCCCCCCATTTATATGATGATCAATGATTTTAAATTCCCATTATTTGGTGAACATATTCAAAGCTACAAATCATCCAGGACTTTAATTCTAGGAGAAAAAAAAAAAAGCACTAGCACCCTCAAGAAGAACATACGTAACGAACTTTAAGCAGCAGCACATTCTTAGTGTAAAAGCTACCTGCTGTTTAAACTTCTCCTCTTCAAATTCGTAGCTAGACAAAGCAGTGATCTCCACCTTCATGTCAATAATTTGAAGCAAACTAAGTTTATGCCAATTAAACAAAAAGGTAACATATGAAGCACACATGCCAAAGGCATCAGGAAGGGAGATGTCTTACCTTAAAAAAATCACTGAGAAGAGCACTTTCATGAGTCTCTGGTTCAGTAACTGTGACCCATATCTGCAGAAATAATGACATCAGAAAATTCTTGAAAAACAAATAATTGACCCAAACAGAGAATAAATAATATGGACAAAAGTACCTTCTCAATATCTTCTAAGAGAGCAGTCTCTAAATATTCCAAAGGAGTCTACATAGACGATCAGAGAGGGAGTATAGATTCAGCATTGGACAAAAAGATGCATTCAAAGAATGGAGCACCGTGTCCGTGGAATCTTCTTACAAGAAACTCATTACGTCCTTACCTTTGTGTGATCACGTATAACAAACAACAGTGTTTTCTTTTGGGGCTTGAATAAACGCTTCATGACCTGAATACAAGACAATAGATTATCACATATAACATATAGAGGCACAATGCATCATGTTTACCATAGCCAAATAGTTGGAGTGCTGGCCTCGATATCAAATTATGTTGGGTGCAGTACTTAATACATCACACACAGGACTAAACAAAAAAGCTAAACAATTCTGACAAAATGGAGTAAGGTAGTAGTGAATATGGAAGAGAAGGCTCTTTGTACATATTCTAAGCATGAGAAATTGGTAGATGTACTGGATATGGAAGAGGCTGTCAATATTCATACATTAGAGTAGTACACATTCCTCCATTTATAGCTCTTACAAACTGGCTTATCTAAGTTTAAGAAAAATATAGTTAACCAATCAAATGCTACTAAACATGAGACAATCCAAACTTGACCATCTAAAGAATTGGTTCAGTTACTTGATAACAGCCAATCACTTAGGCTAATGCAGAATTCTTTTGAATGTGAAATACCTGGAAAACTGTTTTTAAAAGGGGTCTACTGGCTGCATGTTCCAGACCTATGTCTTTGCACCACCTGCATGTGATTTTCAACACAAAGCCAAAACATTGAGTTGAATCCTTGCTTGAGAGGTCATGTCTCGTCTAACAAAACTTCAGCTCTAAATCTCCATTTAAAAGCCTTAAAATCTAGGTTGACAATTTGAAAGTGTCTGATTTGTTTTAAGGCATGATACCATATCAAAGGACCATCTCAACCCAAAAGCTTAAGCTATTGGGTAAGGCCACAAGATATGATTTATATTACTCTCTAACAGCTAGCATAAATGAGATTATGCGTTAGAGAGAGCTACATACAGAGCTCAATTAGAGAGTGGAGCGAGAATAATGTTTGAATGCTTGTATTTTGTTAGTGTATTACAAATAAATTGTAGTGAGTGTTGTGAGAGCTATTATAATTGTACTACTAGTTTGCCATCATTAGTGGTATAATAAACTCATGCCCCTATTTAAGCCTATCAAATTACATCACCTCAAACTCTACATGTGGTACCAGAGATACGCTAAACTCAACAATATGGGCCAATAATTGCATAGCCAAAGCCAGTCTTGGCCACTGCCTACCCACGTGTGGACGTAAATCAGATTTGTCAGGCAGAAAAGGCATCCAAATATTATAATCATGAACATATAAAACTCACATGTTTATCAATACAATGTCTGCAACTGCCAAAGCAAATAGGGTACTTTGTTTCTCGAATGCAGTGTCTTCCTGAAAAAGCACATATTCCAAATTACAAGCAGCGCCAAAATTTCCGCATTATACGAGTTCGATGAATAACAAAAAGAGAATTCTTATTAAGTCCATCTGGCTTTGAATAAGCATCACATTCACAGCTTGAGACAATTAAGCAATGCAACCAAAAATATAGGAACCATTCAGCATTAGTTATCTGGCCTCAGCAGGATTCCACAAAAATTACAAAATTTTGGAAATGGGAATCAGTTTCAAATATCACAAATGTTGAAAAGAATTTAATGTAATAATTAAACTGTGCCCGATTCACAAAGCAAAGCTAAAATAATAATAGTACCAATACAAAGCTCTAATGAAAGTACCTCGCCTCTTTGATTGCTGTCGGTTCCTTCGAAATCCATGGCAATTGTGAAAGGGTCAATATCGCTACACTTTGCAATCCAAATGCCCTTGGTTGTTTGACCTCTGAAACATACATGATTAGATTGTCTTCCTCTATTATTTATACAAAGCAACAAAGAACAATACCCTACACACACACACATATATATATCAAACCTTCCTTTGTATGCATCCATCTCCTCGAAATTGGTATGGAAGGTCTGATTCAGTAGGGTGCTTTTCCCTGTTCGCAAATAATTGCAAATAGTGATCATGAATTAAAAGAAACACAAAACTAACAAAAACTAATTAACACAAATCTTAAATGCAAAATCAATTTCACATTCAACTAAAACAATCACTAGTCATAAATGATAGCCTCCAAGATGAAACAACCTAAATTAATTCACTGATCTTGTGTACTTAAATTCTACTACAACAATGCATTAAAAAAGCTGAACTCAAAAGAACACAAACTTACCGCTACTTTGCGAGCCGATGATGGCAACAATAGCATAGGAGAGATGGGACTGAGCGAACTCGGTAGTCGTCATGAAGTCTTGGAGTCCTTCCATGTTGAACTTGCCATTTTCATCAATCAGCTGCATGCCTTCCTCCATTTTCATTAACGATCGAACTCGAGAACAACAACGACAACTTTTGAAGTCTTCCTTCTTAGGATTGTGTTCTTTCGGATTGCAGAGGAATCTTGCAAACAGGAAAGTGGAGAGACCAGATATGACCCCAGTAAAGAGCTACGTATACTTTTTGAGTCTAACAGACGACTGCTTTGGGAAGAAGTTTTTGGCTTTTTTGAGTTTTGACTTAAAGGAATATATATATATATATATATATATATATAGTTTCTCTTTTGGGTGGGGGCGCTCTGGATAACGTCTGTTAACGGACAATTTGACGGAGGGACTGCAGCTATTATGTCAATTTGGCCCAAATTTATTGGGTTAATATTTGCATGGTCCTTTTCCTCTTGATTATGTCTATGTTTTTGGTGGCAAATCGAATTATGCTTTCAATTCAACAAATATTAAGCTTAAATAGAATTACAGTTGGATACGATGTTATAGTTACTAAGTTATTAAACACTATACCATATAATATGCAAAAGAAGTCATTGCAGCTTTTTTATTTTTTTTATTTTTCTGGATGGAAATCGATTAAATTAAAAAAAAAAAAGATATTTGTCTATGATAAAAAAGACAATAGTCAAGCAAAATAATTTTTATGTCTATCTATTTCTTATTTAACCAAATTATTTGTAACTCTATTACCATATTTATTGGTTCTATTAAAACTAATTGATTTCATATTATAAATATAAAAATAAATACTTATAAAAACATCATGCATTCTTCATACTCTCATTAGAATTTAAATGAACTCAAAGCATTATATTCACTTAATCATTTTTTATGATTTATTTCAGATCATGAGAAAGATGTTGTAAAGAATCTATATACAAAATTTTATTAATAGCAAGAGTTTTCAACTAATTAAAATCCTTAATACATTGAAAATGAGAAGATATGCATGAGTTTTTCTTCACGATGCCTAAGCATTCCATCAATATTAAAACTATATTTTTCATGTAGTTGGCTAGCAAATATATATATATATATATATAATTGTTTCACTAAAAAGTTTTTGACTTTTGGTTTCACCCAAAGAATTTGAAATTGGCCAGTGGACAATATTCATTGATATATAGCCAAGTGGACACATATGATCGAAAGAAGGGACCACATGTGTTCGTAGATTCAGAGATTGGCATGCCCAAAAACTTGAGGGACTATACCATGAATTTACCTTGTTAAAACCACCTCTAAATTAAATTCTCATAATAGCTCCAAATAGTAAAACATCATTTTTTATTTTTTTTATTAAAATAATCTATAAAAAAACCAACCATTTCAAAAGTACATTATTTGTTGTTGTTATCTAGACTAAAACATCAATTACCATAAATTGTAAAATAATTGTGAAATCAATGTGCCTTATATTATTTTAATATTTTTTTTCTAATGACTAAAATACTCTTCCCGTTAAAATGACAGTAGAGTGATATTTTTTAAAAACCGTACTTAAATTTATATGATTCATCGGGGTGCTCGGTGGGACAATGATGGCAACAATAGCATAGGAGATATGGGACCGAGCGAACTCGGTGGTTGTCATGAACTCTTGGAGTCCTTCCACGTTGAACTTGCCATTTCCATCGATTAGTCGTGTGCCTTCCTTCATTTTCATTACCGATCCAACTCGAAAAATAGCAATTTCTTTTAATGTCTTCTTTCCTAGGTTTGTGTTCTTTTGATTGTCGAGAAGTCTTAATAACGATACTTGCAGGGGAAAAGAAAATAATAAAAATAATAAAAAAAAGGATAAATTAAAACCACCACCATCATCTCCATCCACCATGGTCATAACTACTACTAATAAATATAAAACTTTCATGCTTAAAGATCAAAACATAAATCATTCCATGCAATGATCAAGACATAAAACATTCATGCCCATTCAGGATCTTGAATAAAATAATAATCACATAAATAAAGCAAATAAATTACTTATCTTGAGTGGAATTCATCATGATGTAGAGAGAGCTTTCAACAATCACGAACCTTATAAATTCATTTCTCTCCCTTGACCCTCTTTTCTATAGCAGGTGGCTTGATGGATAGCCAAAATACGTATGTTTTGTATTTTTTACGTTTTTGTCCGTATACTCCTTTAGGGTAGAGAGAGAACTAGTTTATATATCCGTTAATATTAAATCTTGTATGTCCATTAAGTACTAAATTAACGATCCAAATTTAACATACTATTAAATTAAGAAAACCCTAAACCAACTTAATATGGGCTTACATAAAATATGGGCCATAACATCGAGCTATATTTCTTACATTCTCCCACTTAGTCGGATGTTTCATCATTACATTTAATAGTATAACATAAGGCTAGCAAAATTAAATCTTATAAACCGTTAACATCATAAGTACCTCAACACAACAAATCATATAATATGGGTTATGGCGGTCATACATAGTATAGTCGTATACTCCTTTCCATATACCACTACATTAAGAACTCATTATGTTAGGTTCATAAGTTGCATATAAACAACATACAGTCCACATACTTGTTATGAAAATACATATAAATTTCTTATTCAAACAATCATGTATACATAAACATAATGAATAAGAAATATAAAATTCAGAAACATATCATTATTGAGCTCAAGAGTGTTAAAACATCATCATCAATCATCGATACAATCAAGACCCATCCTAAACACATGTTCTTTGAAAGTCTTTGGTTGTAAACCCTTAGTTAGAGGATCCGCAACCATGAGGTCCGTCCTAATATGTTCTATACACACTCTTTATTTCGAATCTCCTCTTTAACAACAAAATACTTTAATTCCATGTATTTTGCACCTCTAGAGTATTTGTCTTTTTTAGAGAAGAAAACTGCTGCAAAATTATCACAATAAATTATCAGCGGCTTGCTTATCGTGTCAACAACCCCAAGCCCCGAAATAAAGTTTCGCGACCATAATGCATGAATTGTAGCCTCATAACAAGCTACAAATTCTGCTTCCATAGTGGATGAAGCAATGATAGATTGTTTGGCACTTTTTCATGAGATTGCTCCTTTTGCTAATAGGAATAAATAGCCAAACGTTGACTTTCTACTATCAACACACCCAACAAAATCCGAATCCGAATATCCAATCACTTCTAAGTGATCAAACCTCTTGTAAGTGAGCATATAATCCTTTGTTCCTAGAAGGTATCTCAACACTTTCTTTTCAGCTTTTCAATGATCAATACCGGGATTACTTTAATATCTACCCAAGCATCCCTACCGCAAAACCGATGTCGGGTCTAGTACGAGTTTGTAGGTACATCAAACCGCCCACAACGAAGCATATGGAATTGTTTCAATTTTCTTACGTTCTACATCATTCTTTGGACATTGCATAAGACTAAATTTATCTCCCTTTTGAATAAGGATTATACCGCTAAGCACTTGCTCATGTTAAATTTCTCAAGAATTTTCTCAATATAGGCTTTTTGAGACAATCCTAATAAACCTTCGATCTTTTATGGAATATTGAAATTCCAATCACATAGGATGCCTCTCCCATATCTTTCATTTCAAAACTCTTAGAAAGAAATTTTTTAGTCTTATGCAACAAACCCAAGTCATTACCAACAAGCAAAATGTCATCAACATACGTAACTAGAAATATAAACTTACTCCCACTAATCTTTCAATAAATACATCGATCAACAAGTGATTTCCTCAAAACCGAAAGAGATAATGGTATTATTGAACTTAATATACCATTGCTCGGAAGCTTGTTTAAGTCCATATATTGACTTCTTCAATTTACACATCATACTTTCTTTACCTTCATGGAAAAACCTTCGAGTTGATCCATATAAACTTCCTCCTCAAGATCCCCATTCGTAAATGCCATTTTCACATCCATCCGATGTAGCTCTAAATCAAATTGAGCCACTAATGCTAAAATTATTCTCAATGAATCTTTCTTTGAGACAAGTGAAAAGGTCTCCTTATAATCAATGTCATCTTTCCGAGTGTAGCCTTTGGTAACAAGTCTAGCTTTATATCTTTCAACATTACCATTCGAGTCGCATTTGGTCTTAAAAACCCATTTACAACCAACTCGTTTAGAACCTTCCGGTAAGTCTACAAGATCTCGGACATTGTTTTGAGCCATTGATTTCAACTCTTCTTTCATAGCATCAATCCATCTTTCGGACTTATCACAATCTATAGCTTATGAAAACGAAACAGGATCATTATCAATGCCACAATCAAAATCCGACTCTTACAAATAAACCACATAATCATTAGAAATAGCCGACCTTCTAACCCTTATAGGTCTATTTAAAACTATACCAATTGGTTCATTTGCATGAGCTAATGGTAAGTTAGGTTCTTCATGGGGTGTTTCTTCATTATCTAAATGTTGTTCTTGATTATTTTGATCTTTCAAAACAGGAACAACATTTGTTGTGTTTGTGTATTTAAGAACATTTATGGATAATGGAATATTAACCCTTATTTCATTAATATCCACAACCTGTTTTTTAGCACTCCTACTAACCTCACCATTCTCTAAAAATTTGGCATTGGTTGTTTCAATAATTCTAGAATTGTGGTTCGGACGATAGAAACCTATACCCTTAGGATTTCTCTAGGTAACCTATAAAGTAACCACTAACTGTTCGAGAATCCAGCTTTTCTTTCATGTGGATTATAAATTCGTGTTTTTGATGGACAACCCCAAACATGCAGGTGTCTTAAACTAGGTTTCCTTCTAGTCCATAACTTGAAAGGAGTTTTAGGAACCGCCTTGCTAGGAACCCTGTTTAACGGATACATAGCGAGCTCTAAGTGCATACGTCCACAAACTTTTGGGTAATGAGGAATTACTCATCATACTCCTAACCATATCCATTAATGTTCTATTTCGCCTTTTCGCCACACCATTCCGTTGCGGTGTGCCGGCATAGTATACCGTGCACATATGCCATGACTTTCGAGGAACTTAGCAAATGAACCGAGACAC